ATCCAGGCTCTCTCACGTAAAAACACAGGGATATTTTAGGATTTTTTAGGATATTTGCGATATTTTTAGTCTTGATAAAAATTTGCGGGGTTAAAGGTCAAAATACCGGAAGTGCTCAGCAAAAACTGCAAAATATAGTTTAAAATCAGTTTTTGGTTGAATAATACTTGATTTGGAGATTCAAAGTAAAATGCGAAGTCGTTTTACTTATGTTAGGCAATGTTAGGCATATAAAACTGACTTAGCCGCTGACAACTAAAGCGGGAGCAAAATGTCCCATATTTCTGGTAATGTGTATATTTTCTTTCTCATATATTTGAATTTCTACTGTTTTATTCGCAGGTTTCATTATATCAAATATCGTTCAATGACCAATGCTACAAATGAAGCGCTCATCAGATACATTGTGTATCGTACTTTAGCTATCCACATGTACATATCACTCACTTCCAATGCAAGCATTCATCTCGTATTTTTATTCAATTCCATGATCCAATGGAAATGTTCACATAAATCTATCCTTTGACCAACTATTTCTCATATTTTATCCAATGGAAGCATTACCATTACCTGAGTGAGTTGTAATCTTATTTCTTCATCAACAGTTTCATATTTCTTACGATTCTGGTGTTGTAGACGTTTTGTAGCCTTGTTGGTTGTTTGTTTTGACCATACAAACTCGGCTACGACAATACAAAGATGTTCTTTTCCGATTGACTCCAGTCTTATAGATAATATTTTCGAAAAAAGCCGTAATATTTTCGAAATAAAGCTGCCATAGCCGACAGCAAAAAAAAAACCATTTTGTCAATTTTCCAGCGTTTTTCCTCGTATCCTGGGATACGAGGCCTCGATCACGATTTATGAATAAGGTCTATGAGGAGTGTTTTATGAGGTATCACTGCACGTGATGCATTATATCAGTGATTTAACAGGCTAAAAAGCTTATGGGGGTATAGAAAACTCGCATACCCCTTCTTATATATTTCATGTTAAATAATGTTGCGTTTCGTACGCCCTTACTACCACAACTCAATGTTAAGCTAGTGCCATGGTAGATTACCACTGATCAGTGTAAATTACCAAAGTCGTTTCGGTGCTTCAGGAGGGCTTAGTCAGGAGTCCCTTACGACGTTTTGGTCGAATTACGTAATACTGCTGGGGAAACAAATTACGTAAGCGTTGGGTATGATGGGAAGACGGTCGTCAACCGTCGTCTCACACGTCCGTCGTGGATTCAATTCTACACCATTGGGTCATTTATGTTGCTCTAACATGAAATAGCTTTGCTATATATGTCGGAATCTTCAATTTCGAGTTATAATAAGATATAATAAGATGGTTTAATAAACTCTTTGCAGTACAGACAACTGCATTAACGAGTTATTTAAATAATATTATGATAGATCTACATTAAAGTTTATAATGGCTAAAAATATTTAAAGGTAAAAAATTCTTCTGTTGTTTTAGTTTTACAAAACTTCTTGTCTCTGTATAAAACGACATCCCGAGTTTTGTGACTCAGAGAGTGATGTTTAAAATCAGGCTCTTCGGATAGGGTGGGTAATAAAAAATGTAGTGGGCGTGTGGAACATTTCATTTTATTCATATATCTTTGGCATATAGAGACCCTTCTGTTAAATAGTGTATCTATAGTTTAGCTAGTTCAAGAGCGTCGTTGTATGAATCGGCTTCCGGAAAAATTATCCTCAAAGCTCTTTTCTGAATAGATTCTATTTTCTGAGATAGATGATCCGGAGTCGATTGCCAAACAGGGATAGCATATTCCAAAATTGGGCGGATCATTGTTAGATAAACTTGAATGATGCTTCTCTTCTTAGCACCAACACGGACCAATATACGTAGGGCGAAAAGTCTCTTATATGCCTTGGTATAGATGTAATCAATGTGTATATTCCATTTAAGATCATCACTGAGATAAACACCTAATAATTTATAACTTGAGACTTGTTGTTCAGTTTTGTTTCCCAAGTTTATTGGTTTCAAGAGAATTAGGATCTTGCATGAAACTAATTAACATCTCTTTACATTTTCCGGGATTTAATTTCATGTTACGTGAGAGAGCAAAGTTATTTATAGTGTTGGCCGCAATATCCAGCAAGCTATTAATCAAGTTCCTGCATGGTATTATCCGCTCCAAGGCTGATGTATCATCCACAAATTTAATGCGCAAGTTCCAATCTAGCAATAGGTCGTCAGTCATTATGTTAAAGAGAATAACTCCTAACTTGGTTTCTTGTAGAATTGCTCCTCTATAAGTTGTTTCCGTTCAGATAAAACTCCATCAATTCTGACTGCTTGTGTTCGACGCCACGCAAATGTTTGTTATGAATACATATGGCTTGAAGGGGATTGGTAGGGCTTTATGTGGATAAATATGGATAAACACTAACCGGTTCATTTTGGCCTCTGTTGGTACACAAAGGGTTATTATTTTGTCCTACCACAATGGGTAGACTGTTATTGTTCTGTCGTACCACCATAGCTACACTGTTACTGTTGGTAGTATCTACCACCATGGGTAGTTCAATGTTATTTTGTGCATCAAAGGGATCCACTGGGGCCGGTTGTATAAAAAAGTGATTAAAGTTAATCATAGTTAAGTGGAAATGTCATCCAATAAGAAGCGCCTATTTGAGAGTTAATCACTATTTAATTACAAAATAGTGATTAAAAAAGTGATTAAGAGTTTTATACAACCGGCCCCAGGTGTTGTAGTTGTTTTCGCATCCACTACATTGACTGCAGCTGGTACACTATTAAGAAAACATGTTCTGATGTTCGTACAACCTGAAACACTGAAAACTTTAGGTATAAAAGTTACCTAAGATAAGAATTCGACACCAGGTTCTAAGACAACAAAGCCATCATTCAGAGCTTGCAAGTACATTTTGTCTCCTTGCAATAAGACATTATTAAATGTTGTTTTTGACCAATCGATCAGTGGTATATTTTGGGAAGTTAAAACTGCCGATTAACTCATAAAAGCACATTGTTTGCCTCTAGATTGAACACAAAAAGGTCATCGCCATGATGTAATTTAGAAGAAATCTCTTGCATCCGTTTGAAAAGATTGTAAAATCTTTTGATTCTTGAAGCACATGGAGATGCATGCGAAATACAATATCTTGTTTCTGATCGCTCCCCTCATTTAGCAAACGTTCCTAAAGCTTAATTATTCCCCCCCGGATTACGACATCTTTACAGACAGACACAAGATCTCGATCTCGACAATACGTAACTCGCGCGATAGACTGGGTCGAGTGGACTCTGGAGAAACCACCGCGTGTCAAAAATAGTGTGCTGCCTCGCTGAGAAATTCATTCATTTACAAGAAATTCATCTGCAACTTCTGTTGGTGGAAAGGACCTTGTATTGGTTCATAATTTTGCGTTAGACCAATAATGAAATCATTTAGCCTATCTTCTGTACAGGGGATTCAATATTCCCAGATTCTCCAAGGAATTGGTGATACCATTCTTGTTTTATATTTTGACCCGACAGGGATTTCATTTGTTTCCACCACTTACTTGGATTTGAGTATTCTAAGTCATCGACTCCACTACTATAAAAAAATCTTAATTTCTCGTTGTATTTTGTTCCTCCAGAATTTATATAACGGTGAACCCTTTCCATATCGGATGAATGCATTCTGTCTTTTGCGAATCCATTTCTTAGTTTGCTGGTTACCCATGGACGATCAGTTGGATGTTTCTAATTTTTTCAGAAAGAAAAGTATTCATAGCCTTTTTTATTTCTTGCATTAGCTTATTGTATTTATCCTGGCACGAACTCATATTTAAAACACAACTCCAATCTTTTTGCACCATCCATCTCCCAAATGCTCGCCAAGCACTGTCCCTCATATCCCTTGTCTTTTATTATCTTCTTAACTTTGGATTTATATTTAGTATTATCAGCCGGTTTGGATAATATTGCGTAATGATCAAATGATCCAATTTTTGGTAACTGTGACAAACAGAATAAGTTTGGGCTATTTGTCAAAAACCAGTCGAGTCTCTCGTTTTAAAATTTACTATAGTTAGGTTAATTGATTTCCCTGGGTTATATCTTTCACCTTCAGACTGTTGATTTTGGATTAAAATCGCCAGTTTTAAATTCTAATTTATAGGGCTTTAGGTTGACTATAGACATAATCTCATCCAGATTTTTCTGGATATATTGTTCTCAGCCTGTCGATTTTTAGTAGAATGATATACAACAGCCAAATAATTGATGTAATATGCCTTGGTAGTTTGTGAGGACGCATTGGTACCCATATAGATTCGACGTTGTACGTCTTGGTCGCAGATTTTCAAGTATTTGCATGGGATTATACACACCTCCTCCAAGTGTATGTAAGCGGTCTTTACGGAATAGATTATATCCAGGTATAGTAACAATGTAATTTGGAATAGTGTTTGATAACCAGGTTTCAGTTATACATAATGCATCTAGAGGGGCCTGTACCG